AGTATAACATATTTTGCCAGTCTCCCCTATGTGAAAACTTACATAAGTAATTCTCTTACAGGAACTAGAATGTTCAGCTGTTAGTTAACCCTTTAACTCCCAGAAGTGATTAACATGAAACGTCTCCCTATAATATCCATATTATTCATCAAACAGGTAATGAGAATATTCAATCTTATCGCATAGAAGGTGCTGTCTTGATCTAGCACCAAGTTCTTGAAACTAATTTACAATGAAATGTGTAGCAGCTAAAGGGGAGAATTGACAATCAGACCTTGGGAGTTAAAGGGTTAACATTAATAATAAAATAGTACATTTTTACCCGTCTTTTTTGTGCTTTTGAAACTCGAGAGTGTGTTTCCCCTTCACCCGAGGTTATCGAAATGGATTCCATCTCCTTTGTGACATCTAGTTCCTTATGATTTTCTTTCTACAAAATAGATAAATAAAATATAACCAGCCAAAAAGCATACTTCAACCATTATAAATGAATAGTTCATCTAAAAACCTCTGAACCCACAAGTTTGTAAATTTTCTTCTTTCTTGTTCTACCTTACCAAAAACAGAGATTTGCAAAATGGACCTATGTAGTCCAAAGAGACAACAAATTCTTACAAACAAGACCATTCTGAAAAGAAGATTTTGCAAAGTGTGTCAAGGTTGGCAAAGGGTTTATATGTGGCATGAGATTAAGGTAAAAATGAATATGTGACAAGTGAATCCAACTGAAACTCAAACAAGATCTGTGAATGTGTGAACTAGCACAAGGAGTGATTTGCCTCCTGAAATATACATGACCCATAAAATTTCTTTCATTTTGTGAAAACCTCAAGATTTCCCTGAAACCTCACACACAAGGAGAGACTTGAAGTTTTGCCTTACAGGTTTGTGATGCATGAAATGCTGTATAAAGTATACCTGACACATGACTTTTTTAAAAAATTTGTGTATGAAATGGAATCAGGATAACCTTCCCCTCCACCCCCCCTTCCCCTTTGTATTGGTGAACAGAAAATTTGTGCTGCATCTTGGAGACTCTGGAACAACTCAAGAGAGTTGGGTTATTGAATCATTAGGAGAGTCTTATCATAAATACTGATTTGCTTCACAAAACTGGATGTTGCTACTGTAGGAAGAATGTTCCATCTAATATTATTGGGTCCAAACATTCATGAAAAATATTTTTTAAGTAAAAAACAAGGCGTTGCAAGGAAGGGCAGTGACACAATGATTTAGGAATATGTTTTAAAAATACTTATTTGCAAGAACTAACACTTGAGTCACTCTGCAGTGAGTCCAGCTCATTCTTATGTCTCACGGATAAATCTTCCTCCAGCTTTGCAATCTCAAGAGCCATCTCTTTTTTCTTCTTTTTGTCACCTTTTGGAACAGAGTGTTTCAACGCCTGGATTTTGGCTGAAAAAACAAACAAACAAACAAGTACAACAAATAATTCAATGAAACATCTTACATTATTGTAAGTTATCTTCGGTGGAGTAATACAGATCGAATGTTCTTTCAGCCTCATTCAACAGATATGAGATGAGGATAGCCTCACAATGCACAGTTACCTATGATCTGATGGGTCGTAACATTCCACAAATATGAAAGCAAAAGTCCGCCTGAACCGATTGTCATAAGCGTAGGAAATAGTAAAAAAATCTGAGTTCCCTTAAAGATTCATAACATGTCAGAAAAACAGTATTAAAAAAGGAAGACGATCTTATACCCTGAAGATCTTTCGCTTCCTTTCTGTGCCTTTGAAGAACGCGTTCTAACGATGAATCCTCGTCTTCTTCCGCCATATTGTTGAAACGTATTACATGACGCTCAGAGAGACCGCAGTTGAGCTGGCTACGGACTCGACTATGCCCCAGGTTTCACAGGTCAAACGTTTAACTGACGTTGGTTAGACGTTACTTGAACGAGGCTTGAGAGCTTGTTTGTTCTTAGTTTAATTGTAAGGTCCACGTATGGACCGTCAAAAATTGCAAAGCCGGCTGTATTTCAAGCCGTCTTGCGGGGTATTGGGAAAAGTTTTCAATCAGCAATAACCGCGCCTCGGATAAACCTCACTGGCTACGGTAATGCCACTGCGCAAAGCTAACCATTAATTGGTGTCTCCGAATATATAATGTGAGGTAGACATTGAAAGGCTGTGGGACAACATAAAATGACACATCACCACGACACTTCCTAGACAGTGGTAGATCGATAACTCGAGAGCCTTTCAATAAACTGCATTAAAGCTAAAATATTATTGAAAATTTTTCCTATGTAGTTGAACTCGGCTGGAAAGAAGATAAACTCGTCTGAGAGAATAAGACACCTCATCTAATCGACCGAAGTTACAACAGCGCCTGCGCATTGTCAACTTCAGCTACCGGTGCTCATTGAATTCGCTGGTCAAATGTCTATCAGACAAATTTATCTTCGAAATGTGTAGCAGCTAAAGGGGAGAATTGGCAATCAGATCTTGGGAGTTAAAGGGTTAAGAGAGAGCGAAATACTCGACTGAGTCTATCATTTGAAGGCAAACTATTTGCTTGGATACTTTCGTTGGCCCATCCTACCACAATCATGGACTGAATCATTCTTGCGGGTATGGTAAAGAAAAGGAATGTGGAACGGCCGTAACGTGCTTTCAAGGGCTTATCCTGCCACAGTCGTGGATTGAATCATTCATGCAGGGAGGGCAGAGAAAGATACTGAGGAAAGGCCGTGACTGAAACCCTATTAATCTTGGTTGGCCTGTTGATAGTTTCCTTCTGAGCAAAGTCGGGAATCTTTGTTAAATTTTTTTGCTCATTTGCATGCACGAGCTCTTCATTTTCCTGTCAAGAAACAAAAATTTTGGAACTCGAGATTTAGGAGATATTTACCTTCTTTAAAATTTTTTAAGATACACATTGTTAAAAGTAAGAATTTTTAAAAAGAACGTCTTGTGTCAGTTTCACTCTGAAAGTTGGCCGTTTGCAATGGCGCCGGAATATTTCAATAAGTTTTTCTCCCAACAAGTTCAAGATTTCCCCAAAATGGTGAAACGTTCTTTCAATTTTGGAAATAGTTTCTCCCTTATATCGACTTCTTTTCTTTGGAAACATGTATCAGTAATGAAAAATAGTGTAAACAGTGAGGTCAGCAAGGATTCCCCCTCATCTACAGGCAGATCTTATCTAATTATATATAAATTAACTTAACGTCAATCAAAGAAATGATAATCGAAAATGTAATAAAAGCAGACGTTTGCAAAAATAAATCCGCCAACGCCGTGGGTTTTTCCCTTATCGATGATAATGTTGCCTTACATCATCTTAACAAAAGGCAGAAAAAATCTCACATTCTCTTGGAAACCAAATGACTGCTACACTGATTGATCTGTTGCCAAGACATCAATAAAAATTGGTTATTTTCAACCTTTATAAAATTAATTTGATCGACTTTTCACAAAGCTGTAAGGTTTATTAAAGCTATTTTTAGAAAGTCAAGAAAATTACCGCTGACCTTAAATCGCGCCAAATATGGAATATTACGTAGTTTAATGACGTCACATAAGAAAATAACAAAAAGTCACGTGTTCAAACATTCTGAGAACTTACGCAGCATAAATCGATATTTGGGAAGAATTGCTTCCATCAGAAGAGCATTTATTCTAGGCTACTTTGCCATTGACAATGAAGTGGAGTTTTAAAGAGGAACATTCCTTAGGTAGGTTAAGTCGTACACCTTAATTTATCGCTTTGACAATATTCTCACTGCTGTTTCTCTGTTATTGTAGAGTCAAGATGCCACGAATCTGCAAAGATAAGGGCGAAGTATCCTGACCGAATTCCCGTGAGTGCTCGTGTCCAAACGTTATTTTTGGTAGTATCAAGCAAGATTGATTTACTATTATTATTGTTCTAGGTCGTTGTTGAGAAAGCACCTAAAACCAGCATTCAAGATATCGATAAAAGGAAATTTCTTGTTCCTTCGGATCTGACAGGTAAGCTTGCCATTAAACGGGAAATACTGTAAACTGAATGGGCTAAACTCGACGTAGTTTCGTCCTTTGTTTCAGCTCGAGGATTTTGTTTGTTGTGTCTCGTTGATAACCATTAAAGTGTTTAAATTTTTGCCTATTTTACTGTGTATTATCATATATTGTTCTTATGTGACAAAAAATTTGTGAGCTTTATAATTGTGTTTCCTTTCAGTGGCGCAGTTCATGTACATCATCCGGAAGAGAATTCAGCTTCCTCCAGAAAAGGCGATGTTTCTTTTTGTCAACAAAGTTCTTCCACAGACAAGGTTTGTTGCAAATATGTTAGCAAGCTTTTAAAACGAATGTCTCGTTGTAATTTTGTATCACATTAGTTACAGAGCAGATTTAGCGAAGCAAAATCACTGTCTTTTTCCTCAACGTAGTTATTATTTGCGACCGTTTTGTTTACATCGTTAAATCTGCCTTCCAAAGAAGAACTCTGGTTTCGAGTGAGTTTGTCTTTTAAGCAACATCGTATTCTTTTTTCGTCTACCAAACTAAAACGGAGATTTAGTTCTTAAATAGTTCGGTCTTAATAGAGGAGATTCGAAAGTGTTCCAGAAAGAGAAATTCATACGTCTTTGCAGTTGCGGCGCTTTTACTTGTAATGGCCGCTCTCAGATTCCAAACTCTTTCATCGCTAACCCGTATCCGTAACCCGCTTTTCCTCGTTTCACAGCTGTCTTTTGGAAAGGCTTGTATGTGCTTTGTTTATTTTCCCCACGGATCCCTTTGGTTTTTGTGCGAAAAGAGGAGCTCGTTCCTTATTCCAATAAATTTTAATTGCAAGTCAACAGAGGTACATAACCAAGAGCGGAGGTTTTGTCGGGGAATAGATATTTCTTACAGCTCCTGGTAATTTAGGCTTGTCCGAATAATACCAAGAAGAAAGAAAGCTGTTTAAGTCGTAATTTACATTTGCTGGTGGCAGAATATATAATTCACCAAAATGTGCTACCTTGTTTATACTGACAGTGCGGATGGGTCTTTGATAATATGGTATGCTCCTACCTTGTGCATTTGTGTTTTCGCGTGTACATAGAGATTTTCCTTTTTTTTTTTTTTCTTTCTTTTTTTTCTTTTTCAATAAAGAACATATACTTTTCCAGAAGAATAATTTAACATAGAAATAAAGGTCAAATTACAGTCTGTTGATCAATTCTACATCCAGTTTGCCTGAGTCTCATGTGAACTTAAAAGTTGCCGTGTGACTTACCTCATGTAACAACACCATCCAGTTAACTTATCCAGGAGGTTTCTGTATTTCTATTTTGAGATTCTGCTTTCCCTTCCACATCACTCTTTTTCAGTATCTTATCGTTACCCTGTAGTTCACAACATTTAGCAGTGGTATTGCATGATTTTCAGAACCATCTTTCTTTTTCTAAGAACTCAGCTGTAGTTTTTTTGTTTAACAATTTGAGAGGTTCAAAGTCATCATGAATGCATCATACAGATTTTTAGCAATTGAAACTGCTCACTGGTGAAATTTAAGTCAACAAAATAGACCAAAAAACCAGCCAAAACAAAAGTACAAGTGCATAAAATTGTTTTTAAGTTAACAGACACTTTTCAGAGTATTTGATAAGAAAAGTGGGGAAGCAAGTGCTTTGGTTGTGTGTTGTAACTGACCTGGTTCCATAGTAACTCACCCAACAATGCATACTCACTGTTTGTACTTTTCCCTTCTAGTTCAACCATGGGTTCTATCTACGAAGAACACAAAGATGAAGATGGCTTCCTGTACATTGCCTATAGTGGGGAAAACACTTTTGGAATGTAAATGCTTCAGTTAAAATCTCTGGATTGAACTCAATATAAACTCTTGGATTGTCAATGTACCTTACAGATTGGTTTTGGGTTTTATTAGGGTTAATAGTCTGGCAAAATATATTGTGTTCTAAAGGAGATTAAACATGCTGAATTAGATGTTACTTTAAGAAAAGATTGACCTGGCATCTTTGTGTAGATTTCATTGTTTTATTGTAGGATCAATCAGGTACATTGGAGCTGTGATAAAAAGTATGGATTGTAAATTAGCATAACAACAAAACTGCGATTTTGTAAATACAGGTATATGCACAATGTATACTACCACTCAATCTTCAGCCAGAGAAAAACAGAAATATGAAATCCAGTATCCGTGGCTGAATTTGTTTATGAGGTTGAATAGAATGCTGTCTTCGGGTTTGCTTAAATTTCTTATGTGTACTCCAGCTTCTTAATATTTGTGTTATTTTGATTACTGTGCAACTATTAACAGAATAAAACTGATTCATTCTCTTGACACTAGTGACAGTGGCCAATCGGCTAAATGACTACAAATTTTGAGTAATGACCACAAATAATCCATATCTCCTACAAGTTGCAGCTAGCATGGCTAAGAACCATGAAAGTTCTTTATTTTTTCATTCTGATCCAGTGAAATTTGATAGGTTGTCAGGCTTCAGGCACCAAGTTGGAAATGCAATGAGGAATTTTTCCCTGACAGCATTATATATTGAAGCTTGTCTCTTTGCATTGTGGTAGCTTGTTATTTTCTTTTGCCTGAAAATAAAGTCAGATAATTTTGATGTAACTTGTGGTAAATAAATTTTTCATTTTATTAGTTAAACAGTGTACTGCACACTTTGTTCATATTTCTTTTAAGATCAAGATGATAGAAATTGGTGACAGGTTGACCATTTCACTTCCAAGATCTCATTAGTAATTCCCCCTATTTTCTGTTATTAAATTCTTATGATGTTAGTTCTGAGAATTTTGTATTGTATTAGCTATAATCCTCTAATTAATATATTCTATAATCCCATCACCAGTTTGCATGATTTTGTATTTAATAGTTGAGAGAAATTTGTCTTAGTCACTCATAGAAGTTGCAGGGTTAAACTTAAGGCATGAACTTAGAGGCCCATCCAGCCAGAGAGTAATCCCATTTCTGAGTCATGATACTTCCTCGAGTGTTGCCTCTTGTCACTATGAGTTGCTTCCCAGATCCTTATTCAACACCAGAATTCTTGTGCCAGTTTTGTCAACCAAATTAAAAAAAAAAAAAAATAAACATTCCATACTTAAAATTACCATATTTATGAATTAAGGACTTCCTTGGCTTTAATACTGCTAATGCAGTTACCATTACATACATAAAAGCTCTGTAATCAGTTTAAGGAGTGTACCATGTACCACTAGTTGGACTAACCTTAATGAGGACGGAAGCTTCCAGACAGGAATGCTACCAACCAGAGCTTTGAATGTCTCAAACAGACTTGCTTTACAAATGCAGGTTCTAATAAAAAAAGCGTGGATTTTTTCTTAAATACCTTTGAAGTGAAGAAAATGAAATGAAATGAACAAAACTAAATGATCTTGACAACAAGGAAAAATTGTACAGGAATCTTAGTTTTTCTGGTCTTTTTTTACCTTGCTTTTGGTGATGAGAGGTTCTTTTTAGTAACGCCCTGTCGAAGTCCATTAACAGAAATTTCATGGTAGAAGGGATCTTTAATCCAAATAATAGCTAATAGTAATAAATTTGAAAAAAAAAGAAATTGTCAGGGGAAGAAAATCAGGGAAAATCAGGAAACATGCTTTTATATTAGCTTCTTGTAAAAGACTGGTAACACAGCAGCAGCAGTGGAAATACAGCATGTAACAGACAAGACTCTACAAATCCTCATTTGCTATCTTGCATGTAACTGACACAGCTGGAAACATTATACACATTAAGTTACGAAAAAAGAATACAAGGTACAAGTTGATAAAGGGGGTAAGTTTCTTAGTTGATAATACTTAAAGTTACCAAGTGGTACAAGTTGTCATTAGCTTCTACATAGACCTTGGTGTGCCTCAATTTTCAAAGTGAAGGCCTCCTCACAAGCTATCTCTAATTCTCCATGTGCACAAAGGAAGAGGGAAAAGGAGTGGTGAAAAACCACCCTAAGAAACACCAGAAAGAAGTCAAATCTCTTCAAATAAGGCAGCTTTTCTACTTGCAGAAAAAAATTTACCGATACTTGAAATACTTGAAATGTAGTGAGAGAAATTAAGTTTTCACCTTTTTTTACCTGTTGAGGATGAAGATACTTTACTCTGACTCTGTTCCATGACTTTATATTTGCTGTATTCAAACTGCACATCTGCTTGAAAGGTCTTGGGCTTATGATGACAAAATTCACTATACAAGTCCAATGATACAGATAAAGCGCGTTCAAAGATTCCTCTCTTCATAGCAGTGCCATCATAGGGGCACATACCAACCACAATGGATGACAGGTACACTGGAGTTGTTAAAAAGTAAGACAACAGAGCTCCTTGGATACCAAGAACATTCCATTTCATTATTTTGTCACTGCATGACATTGATAATGTAGGATCTCCACGCCCTGGTTTAGTGCGTAAAATACCCACAGTATGGTATTCAATGCCAGGTTGAAGAAGATCCTGCTCACCTCCTGGCACACACTTTGCTCCTGTTCTATGCACATCCTTGTACTGTTTACCATTATTTTGTATCTGATTGAAATTGGCCACCACACGTCCAGTCTCATCATTATTTATACTCACAGGATCTGTTTGTGTTCCATTTGCTTTTTGTTCCTTACAGTTGATGGTGAAATTTTTTAGGTCTTCACATTTTGATTGTGAGTCTGATAGGAACAATGAAAATTCTGCTGAGGTTTCACTTGTGTGGTTACTACTATGCATGCCAGTAGCTTCTTGAGAAAAGATTTGCACAGTTGATGATACAATAGAGGTTTCAATCAGAATGTCAGAGCTTAAATCATTGGTTGTTTTCTTTTCAAGACAGATTTTCTTTGAGGAATCCATGGGTGTGACAATTTCAGAGGGTGAGTGACATTTTCTCTTTCCAGACTTAAGGCTTTGACTTTGTAATCCTGAAACTACCAAAGTATCATCTTCTGCTTTTGGAAAGATTGAAGCATCACCACCTGAAAAATGGAATTATGGTTGGTAACTTTTAAATATCACTGAGGTTTGATTCAAGTTTGATTCAACCAAATAACTTAACAGTCATATCATATTTAAATTATTTTCTAAAAGAGTTAATAAACAATCTTTTGCCCAGTTTAAGACTTGTCTAAAAATAATTACAGATAAAAAAAGAGTTCAATTAGGTACAAAGTAATTTGACTCAGGTAACAAAAAATGAAATACTTACAAGGTGTATGGGAAGTAAAAAGATGAAAGGACACTCCATCTTTAAGCTTGCATAAACAACTTTCCTCTTGGAAAACAAATATACTTTTCTCCTCTTTATAAACATACCATAACTGCTGGTAAAGATACCTTGAGAGAAAAAAAACATTGATCACACCTAACAATATATTAAGTATGGTCCTTGAAGGCTAAACATTGGTTTTCACAATAATTATATATTAAAATAAATATCCAATATATAAAAAGACTCAAAAATAGATGAAAAAAACAAACAAAAATAATTTTAAAAGAATTAAAACAAAGGATCATTAGCATTCAGACCTGAGAAAACTTCTCCTGGCAATAACTTCTGCATGGCTGTCATTTAAAATAGTTCCTGCAGAGATACATGCTATATTAACCCTTAAACTCTGACCCAAGATCTATGATTGATAATTCACCCTTTACCTTCCACACATTTCCCTGTAAATTAGTCATGAGAATTTGGAGTAAGATCAAGATAACAACTTAAACCTGATAAGTTTGATTATAATATTTTCATTACATGTTTGCCTGATTATATATGGACATTTTAGCTTACAAAGGGTTAACCCTTTTATACCTAAGATCCACATGTCAATTCTCTTCACTGTTTGTTATACATTTCCTATAATTTTGGCTCTGAGAATTTGTTATAAAATCAAACAATTTCCCCGAGTTTATGTTCTATTGTCTTCTTGACACCTTTCTTCAGGACAACATAATAATATTGTAAAAAAGAATTATTAAGTGGTCACTCCTAAGGGTTAAAGAATTAACCCTTTAATTCTCAAGACATAAATTACTGTCATAAAGTTATTGTAAAGTTAGTTTGGAGAATTTGATATTGTGTAATAATCCCCTAATTAATATTTGTCTTTATTCTTATCACTCATCTGCTTGATATTGTGTTGATATTGTAAGGAGAAATTCTGTCTTGATCTCTTATGGGAGTTATTAAGAGTTAACCAAGCTGAACTTAACTGAATATTTGGGAAGTGACAGTCAGTCATCACTGTTTTGTTATTGAGCATAACAAATTTGGCTCATTGTAATTTTAAAAGAAGAACTGTATACTAGTAGAAAAGAGTACTTCAGAGACTGATAAAAGATGCTCTGGAGTTGGAGCCACAGTTGAACCAGGTTTACAACTTTAGATAAGTTGGACTCATTGTACTAAAAAATTGTTTAAATGGTTACATTATCATCACATGTAAAAGCTACGTCAAAATTTGTTTGTACATGTCCTTTATTACTCATAAATAGCATAATAGTCAATTACAAACACAACATTTCTGTGAATAATTATTTGATGACTCTTTCACAGCTTGAAATTTATGGTCTGCATCTCCAATTTTTTTAAGCAATTATAAGGCTCTTTCAATTGTACCAAATTTTTACCTTGATTGTTCATTCTGTTTCTTCCTATGCATTTAGAACCAGTTCCCATTGCAACCACCTCCATGGAATATTTTGTTGTTGAGTTGTCATCGTCATCTATAGTATTTGAACTACTACACATCATTAATAAATTTAAGAAATAAATCATAATTAACCTGCATACGATGGATAAAGAACTGATTCCCAGAGGTAAACTATAAGAAAGAAAAGTCTACGAAGCCTTTGCCTTGAAATCTTGTAACGTGCCGAAGTGGAATCTGTCGACACTCGCAAACAGGGTTTTTGTTAAAAAAAAAAACATAGGAGCAAGAGAATAAAGTTAAACGTCTGAATGAAATTCGCTCAGGCCACTAGAATTTAGCAGGAGAAATTTATGCGTTGTACTCTTAGCATTTTCCGATCCTGTAGATCTGCGTGGCAAACTCTTCAGATTTGTTCCAAGCCTTCCGAGTTGATCCCTTAATTTCATTAGCCATGCTTATCCGAAAAACATAGGTATTAAATAAAGGTAAATAGTTTAGCACCAAATGGTTATTTCATTTCAGAAATAATAGGTTTAAATGTTTTAACCTCTTTGCTGAACAAGCACAATAGCAGCCAACAAAGTCCACTCGCCATCTATTTGAGGTTTTCCCTTCTTGTTCAACTTGTTGAAATGATCACAACATAAGCGAGCTAGCTTGTCTGCAAATATTTCATCTTCCTTCCAATGAGCCATAGAACAACAGAGCAGAGGTATATAATTCTGCGAAATATCTAACACAGTACAAAAATGTCTTTGCCGTCCGCCATCTTGAACGAGATTTAATTCTAAGGATCTGGGCCGAATACATAATGCAAATTTTAAGAAGCAGGGGAGGGGTAAGGTAATTCTTTTTGACCTGTTTCAAACACGGAAGTTCTTGAGATCAAAATGGAAAAGATGCTTCGAATATGGATACAACGTACTCGATTATTATTATTTCATATCTATAATAATTTTAGTTTCTTTTGTACCATTTCAATAAAGAAACATTTTGCAAAAAACTCGATCAGTCCACCCCATTGAAGAAATGTATTTCTCCTCTTTACATTCGCGGGCTCAATCTACGAAGGGAAAAATGTGAGAGAGCGCCAATTTTTGTTTATAAAAGTTCGTCGCTAAGCAGGAATATTTCTTCGACATGGTGATGTACGTAGTTCATACACATAATGTACGACAAAAATACAAGACTCACATTTGTAGCAGAGCGACTCTTTTCCAATTCTTTGTCATAATTTTGACTTTTATACCACCCCTGATTATTGCCTATGTCACGCACGGTAAGCAAATTTTCTGATTATTTTTTCGTTTTTTATTCAATACTGTTCTACTCTAAGCTCTTAACTTTCTTGTAATTAATTGTAAACCTCATGAATCGTTGTGAAACACTGCAGGTTTCTGGCTCAAGGAAAGTTCTTTCAGAGAGCAACCCGATGTTCGTTTTAAACACGAACTGCTTGTCGTTCTTCAAGGAAATACCCCAGGTTCATTTATGGCCTACAGTACGTTTCAAAACTTTAACCATCTTCTGCAGGAAAAGCTTAGAATTCCACTCATAAAGGTGATTAGAACTGAATCTGAGATATTAGTTTTCTACTGTGACTGCGAACCCTAATATTCTTTAATTTCAAATTTTTTCCTGTGATAATTTAGAACTGTAATTAGGAGATAGTTGAATCGAATTCTCCCACAATTATCATTCACACTGTAAGTAATATGTTTTTTTTTCTTGGATTAAGTCTTGGGAAACAGATGGTAACCTGGATGGAAAGTATGACAGCCTTCACTTCAATATTGAGATACCCCTGTCAGACTCTGAGGCAATACATTCTGTACAACTGCTGCTGATATTTGATTACAAACTTTATGTAAGTTACACTGTACATTTTGAGTCGTGTTGCAGTCTAAGCGACCCATTGCAGAAGCTTTTCATTCTGGTATCTTAAGCACAAGGATAACAGTTGTGCTGTAATGTCTCCTCCATGTAGATGCTTGATTATTACATGTGGTCTCCATTGCAAATCTTTGAGTTTCCCTGTTAGAGTAGAGAGTGGCACTATTGTTAAGAATGCTGCAAGAAAAGGCAAATTCATGGCTTGCTTGTTAAATCACAGTGTTTTCATGTTGGAGATATTTGATTTAAGAATCTTGCCAGTCTGTATGCAAGTGGTGTTTTGAGTAAGATTCTTTTGCATTTCTCTTAATTACCCCTTAATGAATGGCTGGACTAGCATCAAAATTTTCCTTACAGTATATTCCCTGAATCAAACATTAAGAAAATGAGAATGTAGGAAACAGTTGCCAACTAAAGAGGCTCCTGACTGTTAATAAAATTCCCCCTGTTGGTACCATTGGAAATGTTTACTAAGTTAATAGTATGGAGAATATGCATATTATGTTCAGGTGTTAAGAGTGAATTAAGTAATATGAAGATCTGATATGATCAACAGCTGTCCTGATGTCTTTCTTTTTCTTCAGAAATATGTCAGACTTCAGATGGAGAGCATGGCCTACATCCATCACTCATCTCCTCTAGCTGGTGCAGAGTTTTCAACAGTTGGAAAACTGATTCTTCAGCAGTCAGGACCCTTACCTTACAAAGGACAACATGTCTTATATAACGTAAGGAGTACAAATGAATCCTGAAAGAATAACCTTGAATAGAGTAATGCAATATACTGGTATGCACAATTTGCTTCTTTCAGTGTGGCTATGGGTCTCCAGAGCCTCTTAGCAGGTCAGCAGCTATCTGCAAACTCTGTTATCTGCTCTCCTTTGGTCTGTGCTTTACTGATTTACAAAAGACTCTTGTGTTTTGACACCATCTGGTGTGAGTTCTTATGCCAGTAAACCAATTTTAAGTGTAGACAGTTATTTAAGCCAATTATTAACAATTTTCTGGTTGTAGGTACCAGTTATTGATGGTTCAAGTTCTAATGTTGATGCTTATAAATTGTATGACATATTTACTGCATACACCCAACGTAATGGTAAGTATTGATAAGCTTTTTACCTAATAAGAGGTTTTGATAGCCTCTGATAAAAGAGCGTCATGTAAAGAAAGGCTTATTAGTCCTGTTTTTAAAATTAATCAATGCAAACTATGTATTATTCATATTTTTTTTTTGATGGTTCAGATATCTGAAGTACAGACAAGACTGACTCACAAAGTTGCAGGACCTTATTATACTTTCAGTTAAAAGCACCACTAGGTTGCAAAGATTAATTCCAGGTTACCCTGCTCCCCAAACTTATCAGGTTTTCCTCACCTTTTAGAGGCAATTCTTCACACTGCTAGTGGAATGAAGGCAATGTGAGAGCAAAGTGTCTCAAATCTGGACCTTAAAATCTCTCACTAAGCCTTGAGTGGAGTTTATTGATCTCCTTTCAGTGCAATATTTGAATTATTTGACCAAACCAGTTGACTTTAAGTGAATTTGTATATTTTGGTAAGTTATGAGATGAAATTGGAGGAAAATTTACTTCATCCTTGTACCAAGAATTTAACTTGTGCTGTTGTGGTATCTGCAGAGAAAATATCTATGATTATCCAACAAAGGCTAAAGAGAAATTTATTCTAGTCCTGTTTTATGCTTTGTCAGTCACCACAGAATATGTGTCATTCCATCCTGTGTGGACAACTGGTAGAGCAGCTGGGCAGCCATTTGTTATTAAAGGAACTGTTTATTACCCAGAGGAGACAATCATGTATCTTTTAGTAAAAATTTTAAGTGTATCAAGGTTGTGCTAATGTACTGCAAGCAATCATTACTAGGATATTATTCAGGGCCGCCACAAGCTTTTGTTGAAAAGGTAAAGTTTTGCTCTTAAGTTAACCCATGTACACCACTGGAGCTGACATCTAAGTTTTCATTGCTTGATACAATCAAACTGGGGTTTCAATGAGCTGTAAGTCTGCAAGATGTCTCACCAGCATCTGTTTAGCCTACAAAGAGACTCTCTTGGTTATTTTCACCTTAAGGCATGGCCGCCAATTACACCAGTGGCAGCCACTTATGGAAAAAGTTATTGAGACCCCTCTGACTGAGAGTATTTCAATCTCCTTTCCTTGGATGGGATGATATTCAATGATACATTTACACCTCGCATATTTTCCAACCATTATCAAGGTTTTAAGAGATGTGTTGCAACTGTTTCTTAGAATTGTGTTTGAAGATTTTCGCATCAGGAGTTGTTCAATTGCAAACAGAGTTCACCTTAACGTTATTTTTAAGATACCGTCCAGGATTTTGGCAGCTCATCAAAATGGCTTGGATCCAGTACTTGGCTATTCTGTTCATCTTTCTCTTTTTGTTTGATAGAGTCAAGAGATTTGTGTTTGAAAACCAAGTGGTGACTACAGTTCCTATGAAGATAGAAAAAGAGCACTTAGACTGATAATCCAGGCATAAAAGGGGGCCAGCTGCTAAAGATGATGAAAGAGCCAGGGTCTGGAGAAAGGCGTTCATAGCAAAGGAGAAGTTAAAGGACAAGGAATGAAGGTAGGAGTCTCCAAGGGACAGGTCTTTGAGGCGCAAGACATCAAGAAACGAATCATATACGGTTAAGTCTCTATGAGACAAGCTATTAAGGAACAAGTCATTGTTGAAACCTACTAGTCTGATAACAGTAAACAAATAGTTTTGATAAGAGCTTTAAACATTGGGAGAAGTCAAGCGGGTATTGTAATACAGCCAAAAGAGACTGAAAAAGGAAACTCGCACAGGCATCAACAAGGCGTATATAGGCTGATATACAGATATACACAGAACAGGCTTTTTTTGTGTTAACACTTTTGTCGTAGTCCAAAAAATAGCTGATAACTGCTCCTAAACCATGCACCATATGTGCTAAAACCGGAACATGCGGGAACTCCGCGGAATTTCAAAAAGATGAAATAACCATAAAATTTGAAAAAAAGTTTACTTTTTTCAATTTTGAAAAAATGATAAAAAACAGTAAAACTCAATCTGTGTATAGCCCGTGCACTTTTTGAGTTAAGTCTGCCACCCTGGTTTTCGGTTACCACTAGAGACAGCGGATTGCAATTTCAAACGACACGAACGTAAACCCACCATTTTCCATGTTAGGAACGGGGTTACTGGTTAGCGAAAACCACGATGGTGGACTTGAGGCACGAAGAGCGCGAGCTACACACAAATTGACTTTTTATATATATAATGTATGTATAAACTACTTTTTATCAATCTTTTTTTTACTTTTATTTTTTTTAAATTTCGCGGTGTTCCGGCATGTTACGGTGTATTGGGTTTTAGCTCATGCCATCATGCACAGACGTCTGTCGACAGAACTATTAAAAGAAGGAACTTTTTCTTCAAATGACAAATTTCTGTAGGTAGCTTCACGGAGAAATGTCGTAAGGAGACGCATGTCCTTACTGCTTAGGATCCTCACCCCACATAATTCTTAACGCTACCTTGTGCTGTTTGTTTTCTTTTTTGCATAGTAGCGGAACTATCGTTCCATCTTTACATCTCGTCAGTGTGTAGCGTTGTAGAGCATACTTAGGCGTACAAAATGAGGTCAAATGAAGGATATTTTATTTCGCTAAAATCTTGCATCGTATTAATGTACATAATTTTTTTAAAAATAACGGTGTAGCATTTTTAATAAACATTCTCCACATCGTATTTCGCTCTTCAAGATGTATATGTTAGTTACTACTTTTAAATTGCACGTTTCTTTGAAGCCATGAGGTAGATGCGAAGTAGGTCGTTGATAATTTATTTCATTTTAATTTATGCGGTCTTATTTCTGTTTTTATCGATATTTCTTAAGAGTTGTAAACAGGTATTAAATTATTGAAACTCTTTAGCGTACATTAAATGTCTGGGGACTTATTACTCTTTTAATGAGATATATATATATATATATCTCTTTCAAATATTTGATTTTCACATATTCACAGTCGTTCAAATACATTTGAGTTCATGATGTCGCGAAATTTCAGTTTTACCATTTCTGTTGAGACAATCCTCAAAAGTCATTACTAAGCTCAAAAGAGAACACAATGTGCTTATCTCAATGTTCAAAGATGACGGGCTGTGTTTTCGAACCCAGACTGGAAGTAGGTGGTTACAAAGTAGCCCCGAACTTTTTCAAACTCCAGATCCGTTTCGATCTTTTAAAATGCAGAATTTTTTTATCATCTTTTTTTCTAACTGATCTCTTACGTTAAGGTCGTGAGATATAAACTTTAGAGATGGCTGGGGTTATCTCTAATAATATGATGTCGAATTCTAAAGCTGAATTTTTTATACAGATTCATAAACTGGGCCATTCCTTTTAAGTCAAGGGTTTCGAAAGAAAAAAGAGTTTAAGACTTCCCATGTTGGGAAATACTCGATAGTGTATTGTGGCCACGCCGAAACAACTCAGTGTAAGACCTTTAATTCTGTTTGCACTTAAACTAATTTGAGACACGCTGGTGAAGGTGCCGTCAAAAAGCCGAACATCTTCACAATGAATCACGCATTCCTAAAGAGATTGTGTTTTAAAATTAATCCATAGCAGATATTACCCATAAACGAAACAAGCGATAAAAATTGAAACCATTTAGAATTAGAGGAGACAAACAAGAGCAGGTATCCAAGCGACGACCTCGACGATTGGTAGGTTTGGACAGTCACGTGACTTGGTGCAGGTGTCCAGTCAACAGGTGGTTTGTTAGCGATTGTGGTACACTTTGGGCGTTGTACTTCCGTGCAGAGATGAAAATTTTTAAACTAAAACAAGCTTTTGTTTTATTTTGCGCAAGATGGGTTCAAAAATGGAAATGCTAATTGTCAGTTGATCATTCGCACGACTGTGAGAATCAAAGTTTGGTGAAACTCCTCTTGTTAAGACGTTGCTTGTGTGTTCGTTGATAAAATGGACAATTGACACTGTTACATTTTCTTTCCTTTATCAAAACATAGCAAAAGCAAAGTCCTAAAGAATTATTGGAGAGGCAGATATTGATAGTTTAAAGGGTGTGGTGGAAAATTTCGCGTTAACAACCATTTATGAGATCATTGTTTCTATTTTGCTTTAGCGCTGAGACGGGCGCGGCTCGCTTTGTTTATCAATTTTCAGTTTACACGCACAAGCAAACCGCTTGATTTGTTTAATCTTCAACAGAAACGCGAAAACGTAAACTTAAGGCATTCAGTGCTAGATCCAAACATATCAGTACTCTTTGAAAAAAAATATCGGTCAAGAGATATTTGGAAACGGACCTAATGGGCCTCCTCTCCTTTTTCTAATGTCAAGTTGCGAAACGACTCTCTGAAAGGATTTGCGAAGAAGGTATTACATTTGAATACTTGGAAGAATTTCAAAGAATCACAGTTAGAATAGCAATTACTGACTTCTGTAGTTCTGGAATGAAGTCAAAGCAACACTGAATCGCCTGTTCGAGACGCGGTTTTTGTACAGAAATTCATTGCACAAGCAAAGACATGCCTGGATATGAAGTAAAATTCACTGGACCGTTAGACAAGGCATTTGAGTGTCCAATTTGTCTGATTGCACTTCGGGACCCAGTTCAAATAACACCATGCGGACATCGTATGTGTAACACTTGTTTGAAGCCGATTTTAAGGTAAAGTGATCGAAATGTTTATCCTCCATTTGTAGTCACTGCGGCAATATCAGTTAGTACATCATAGGATTAGTTACTTCATGCACTCCGACAATTATTCTTCAACTTGATGAGTTTCTTCACCTGTACTTCCTACTCTATGTCAGTATTTTAGGAGAGTTTATCATCTCATCGTTCTAACCAATATTCTCTCAGCCTGATTGGGAAATCAACCTTGAAATAATTTCTGCTTGGTCCTCTCGAAATCAAAGGATTTAATATGTTGAGTGGACGCGCAGTCCAATAAATTTTGATGAGAGAATTATTTGTCATAGGCGCTTTCCTTTTTCACTATGATTTTATTTCAGCTCGATAGGTAATTTGAAAACTTTGAGTTCACTTCGATTTCGATTTTAAATCAGTTCAGTTTTTATTCTCCACGATACCTTACATTTGTGCCCCACAGTGCGTTTTGATACACAACTTCCTCGCCTCCCCCATCGTTGTAATGTCACTGAAAGGTCCCCTCTCCGATGAGGCCCATGTTTGTAAGCCCAAGGATCTAGACCTCAGCCTTCCCCCGCTTGGACCTTGACAAATTGTTTAAGATATTAAAAACTTCCTTAGCAGTAGTATTTTGAGTAAAACTCAATACCTTTACTGAGGCATAAACCTCGTCTTTCTCTTAATTTTATATTGGTTCTTTTTTTTTTGTATCATCATAGAAACAAGAGGCCTCGCTGCCCCCTTGATAACCTGAACTTTGATCCATCAAAGGTGAGAATCCCATATCCAATGTATATAATTTTTAATGATTGATATAATTCTAATAATTACGAATAAATATTTTTATGTTCAAGCTGCGTAATTTTCTGTTTTGTTATTTTCATCCTAAACAAAACGTTCTTGTTGAGGCATCGAAAGAGAAGCGCTACGTTAGTTTGTTTCTTTATTTTATTTTATGGAAAAAAATGGTGGAAAACACCAAAATGGAAAGGAAATAAAGAGGAGGACCGAGAAAAGCTAGGGATGAAGAAGATTGTCGCGGATTGCGAATGAAAAAAGCTCGGATGTTAGGATTAATTCTTCACGATGCAAAAAATTAAAGAGACCATAATTAGTTTGTGTCAAAGCCTGCAATCTGCGTCATTTCATTTTTTGCTGCTCTGACCAATTCTTTTCATTCTTGATAATGTATTTTCATTCTTAAGCAGTTGTCATAAACCTTCTGATTTTAGGTTTTCCCAGATAATGGCTGCCACAGACAGATTCTAAACTTACAGGTTCTTTGTTCAAACACAGAAAAGGGTTGTGAGTGGTCTGGGCCGCTCAGTGAAATAGAGGTGAGGTTCTTTTTTTTTTCATCACCGATACGCGTTTGTGTTCATTAACATGTGACGCAATAAACGAAAGGAACCGCTGTCAAATAAAATAACTTTTTCCACTCGTATTTTGCCTTTTTCATTGTGTTTGACGACCTTTCAGCAGCGAGGAAATCATCTGGTTCTCGGCTCGAGTTGTCTTCGTCGCGTTCATCTTTCTCCATTCGTCACTTGTCTTCATCTAAACTCTCGGAGAAACCAACTCAAAAGTCTGGGACATCTGCTTCAGAGTTTTGTTCGTTTTCTTCGTTTGCGTACTTTTCCTGTTGACGTGTTTCAAATCTTCCTCAAGGGAAACTTGCCAATCAAAACAAAATTTTCAATTTAGCGGGTTGCACAGTGAAATACGGCCCACCAAATAGACCAATCATAGCGCACGCGCACGCATATGAAAAATATAACTAGTGTACTTTTAAAAACTCCATTTAAGTGCTGATTATTAATAATACCTTTTTAGCGACATCAGGACGTGTGTAGTTACGCTGAGGTATCGTGTCCAAAACGTTGCGGAGTATCATTAGAAAGGAGAAGAGTATCAGAACACAGTTCACATGAATGTATTAACAGACTGACACCGTGCGCTCACTGTGGAAATCAAGTTGTGTTCAACCTTATGAGTGTAAGTACTTAAACTTTGCTTGATCGGTGACTATTCTTTATGAATGTTTGAATATGACAATAGCAAGTTTGTGCAAACGAAACCCACTACTGCAGCCATGATTTTGTGTAATGCAAATTTATCTAACCCTACTTCTCCTCATCGATTTTCGATTTTTCGTAACAGAGCTTGCTTTGAGACTCCACGCATGCCCATACTTCTTTCCGCCTGTTCCGTGTTTGCCACCTAAAACAGTTCCCACCGCAGTGCCCTTGTAGTCTGATTCACTCATAGCGTGCTCTTTACTGTCGGATTTTACCTCTCCACGCGCTCTTTGTGACACTGTTAACATGAAGGCACCTTGTGGGCAAAATAATACTACTCTGAAAAATTTTGGTATTTGCGTCACCGATGCTTGCCATTCTAATGTATTACGTTTAAATTTTATTGCAGTTACACCTTCAAACTTGTTCCTCGTTCCCTGTGTCTTGCCCAGCTAACTGTGGTGCAACTAATCTGACCAAAGAAAAGGTTTGTGAAGGCTTCCAGTTCCCTTCACCTAAATTATCAAGTGTGATTTTTCAATCTTTTTCTTTAAAACTTATGCATTTTGACCAAAGCACATCAAAATCCAATATTTTGTTGTTTCTTTAACATTGTCACTGTTTATGTTGCTGATTCAGTACCTATGATAAATCATGCAATCATGTTTCTATTTTCTTTCTGTGTGTGTTCTGTTGTATTTGCCTTCCTTTGCTTTGTAGGTGTGTTCGTTTGTTGTTTGTGCGTTTTGCTGCGGTAGGACATCCCAAGACAGACTTTATTGTGAACTGAGAACCATACAGACGTCACCAGATATGACATAACAAACAGATTGTTTGCGCGAAGCTCTTAAGGAGCAAGACAGTAGTATAAATCAAGACAATTAATTAGATAAATCTTGTATGGATTTGCAATTTTAGAAAGTTCTTAGGAGCTCTAGCCAGTCTAAATGTTATTTCATTAAAGGGAAATTGGCGAAGAATATCAAAGTGCTTTTAAGCTTGGCATATCTGATAAAAATTACGGAGCTCGGATTTCCATAAAGAATAGGTGTGCACGGCTGAATGTAAATGTACGATTTCCGCTACACTCTTGAATCTGGAAATAGCTTGTTTTCCTTTGATTTTTGTTTAATTGAGTCTATTCAACGGGTTGAATGACTGAAATAAAATGGTACATGTATCATATTACGCTAAAAGTGGACAACTACATTTTGTCACATGTGCGGGTTTTCTTTGCTGAGTGTAAACTATAGGCTCATAGCCAGCCAAAGTTTTCAACTCCTATTTACTTGCTTGTTCTTTCCTCTCGTTTTTCCATGTAGTTGGTGGTTCATATGAACAATGAATGTCTCCTCATTGAAGTACCATGCAAATTTGTCGAGGCAGGCTGCAAATTTAAGGTAAAAGTTGTTAAGCATGCATTTGTTCCTTACAAACATTGGTACTTTGTCATTACACTAATTTTGGGGCTGAGGCTGAACGTTCTGATCTTTTTTTGCGGTTTGAGCCTGAAAACGTTCCTAACATGTTATTAAAGTTGTATTTCAAACATCGATTAAGTTCGACCACAAATTGAGTTGTTCTACAGTGTATCGTGTCTGTCTGTATGTACCTAATTGAATGTCTATTCGTGCGTCTGTTTTCTGTTCATTTGTTTAACTGCGTGATAAAGTGTCTTACATACTGAGAAACAATTGGAACGTTTACTAAGCATTTATTGGCCCGTCTGTGTGCGTATCAAATATCAAATATTCTGCCCAAAACTCTACGTTTGCTTGGCGTAACAAAGTATTGCCAAAGTATTGTAATTTATCTGATTTCAGGCGGAGAGATATAAAATGAAAGAGCATATGTCCAGCAACATGGAGTCTCATTTGAGCGCTTTGAGTGATTTGGTGAACGCTCAAAAGAAACAGCTAGATATCCAGAGAGAAAGAATTCAGCTTCAAAAGGAACACATTCAGCTTCAGAAAGAAACCATGCTGCTACAAAAACAAGAAATCATCGACGCGCGAGGTCGAACTGCAAATGGCGAGTTCATCTGGAGAATACCGGATTTCAACCGGAAATTGATGGACGCCAAATCCGGGCGCGCGCCCGAACCGATGATTAGCGAGCCTTTCTATACCCACCCCCACGGGTATAAAATGTGTGCAGGGCTGTGGCTCAATGGAGTTGGTACCGGGAGAGGTAGATACATATCCGTGGGGCTTCAGGTTAGTAAATATGACGGAATTTCTTTACGGGTTTTACTACTTTCATTATCAATGTTCCTGTGAGCTTCCATACGGTTATGATGGGAAGTCAGGAGCAAAACACTTGCTTTTCCCCACGAGCGATTAAGAATAAAACTACGTAAAACTTGTCATTTACATAATGGCACAAAAGCCTGACGTTGAAAATACAAGGGTCATGCTCTGAGGGGGATTCTGGCTGTCAGTATTTTTCTTAAGTGACCTGTTGTACGAACACGAACTGTACGAACTGATGAAACTTAAGAAAACTTTCTTTCAGACAACTCAGTGCCCCATTCCTTTAGGAGTGTAAGTGGATACCGGTGAAGGTTACCCCTTAGCCTTTTGTCAGGGGAACCTGACCAAAGGCTAGGGGTAACCTGCAATTGACTCAGTACAGTACCATCCACACCCCGTAGTCGCTTCGTGCTATATAACGGGTTTGAATCTACTAATGGATTATTCGGCGCATAACCTAACTTTACTTTTTCGTTTAGGTTCAAGTAGGAGAGTACGACTCCATACTCAAATGGCCGATACATCCGCGGTATACCTTCACTCTGCTTGATCAGCGAGACGACTCCAAGGAGAGAAGAGACATCACGGCGCACTTCGAGCCTCAGTGCATCTCCCGACCGCGGGCCGACAGACAGCTCGGAAAGGGAGCGAGACGATTCGTTCTTCAGGATGATATATGCGCCATTAATTATTGTAAACATGACACAATTTTTCTCAAGTTTAATGTAATTCTAAAACAGCCCCCTT